AGATTTATGTTTATACCTTTTGTCATTCCCCTACTTAACCGATACATTTTTTAAAATCATTTTAGAGGACATTATTGAGAATTCTTGAATAAAAAATATTTGACTAAACATATTCGTTTTACTTATATAAACATAAATTTAATATCTATTTTTATGAATTAAAAAAAAAAGGTTTGATTATTGCAATATTAAGTAGCCTTAAAATAATCCTAATTTGCTAAATGTTTAACTTCGTCACTTCATTTCTCTTAAATTTGATGTAGTTTTTGTTAATTCATAAAATAAAGAGTAGGTAAATGTTGTAGCATATAAGAACATGAAAAATTTATCTATTGTGATGTCAATTAACAGCATCATCAGAAGAACATTATAGAAATATGTAAACACCCTGCAATAACTAGATAGATATTTTCTCATCATGGATTCTCAGTCTATCAATCAGGGAAATAAACTTTATTTTTTAAAAGTCATTCCGCTACAGTAATTTTTTTCTGTAAAAAAGGAGAAAGAAATCTAGAGAATTGTGTAGCAATTTTTCGATGATACTTCCCCATTAATTTTGATGTTTTGGCACTAAAAGATTTGTTTGTTTTTAAAGGATCTGATCTGAGATATTATAAGACTGTATCTGAACAATTATTATGTTTGTTCTACATTCCATTCTCAGTAACATATACTGTATACGTCAATTCTTTATATAAGTATCATTCTGTAAGTCACGTCATCATTCAATAGGAGTTAGAGAGAAAAAGAGTTGTCTTTCTTACCCTATAGACGTATTAAGAAATGTATCTGTAATGGTGGTCCCTTAAGGGGACCGACCCCTGATAAGAGAGATAACTTTCCAAGTAAAAAATACGAATGCTACTCATAGTTTTCATTATCAGAGTTTCATTATCGAGACCTTGGAGTAGTCAATTCGATCAAACCTGACCTATGGTGGAAACATTACCTTCTATTTCCTTTGCCTATACTTTTCAAATTGTTTTGTTATATTTAACCAAAAAAAAAAAAAAAAAAAAAAAAAAAAAAAAAAAAATCAGCGCTTTTTTATGTTTTCTAATATGAATTTAATAGGTATGATACTAAATATTATTTTCATATACACCTCATATTTTTAATTTTATGTTGTGATATTAAATCATTACTCTTTCTTCATATCAAGATCCGACATAAAAATCATTTCTGAAAAAATAAGCAGCGCTTCAAACATCATACTGTTTTCCATTTGAAGCTGATGCTATAGTTCTTGATGAAAATCAATGTTGGAAGTTTTAAAAAAAAGTGTGAAATTTAGAGCAGAGGGTCATTAGTCCTTAAAGAAAAATCTCTTAAATCATTTAAAAGTTCATAAACCCTCACTCATATAAAATTTATGATTTTCCGAAAGAAATGTATTTTATAAGTAAAATACAAACAATAATAGCATAGATGGCGGGGCAAAAATGGACAAAAAGACATTTCAACTTTACAAATTTATAAAGGAATAATAACGATATATTAAAAAGCTCATTATTTACCTATTAGCATGTTTATCAAAAAACAAATCCAAAACTTAGACATAACGAATGACAGAATGAAGGAATAATGGAATGAGAGAATGAGGGATAGAAAGATGTAAGATTGGATGAATACTATTATGTCAGGCCATTTCATGGCCAGGACATATAAAGATATGCATAGTCACATATGTGCATTTACAAACTGACAATTAACTAAAGTCTCCTATTTCCAAGTAAGTCTTGAGGCCTTCTTGGGTTTCATTAAAAATCATGAGACGAGATTCATTACCACTTGAGGAAAATTGGGTTCCTACAATGCATTCAGTAAGAGTCTTTTTGAAAACTTCAACCTAGTTCACTTAAAAAAGATGAGGATTATCTCTGGTAGAAATTTTGAAAATTACTCAAGAAGTACTGTAATCAAAAATAATTCTGAATTTCTGATCCCACAAAAAGATTTTTTTATGATATTAGGAATTCGAATTATACATACAAAAATGTTTTTCTGATGTAAAATAGAATATTTGCTATCACAAATCCCTCTTTCTGATAAAAAAAAAAATAAATCTTGTTATTTCTGAAAAGGATTCTTTAATATTAGGCAATCGAATATTTGAAAGCAGACATCAGAAAATAGCTTGAAAATACTAAAATGCTTCATGGTAAACGCCCACTAATCATTCCAATTTTAGCGTGTCAGTTTTTGGTCAAGCGTCGGTGAAGTTTATTACTGATTGGATGTACGGTTTCAATAATATGCAATATGTTACACAGAACCAACAATACCACTGATTTATATTATATAAATAGTGCACGTTTTTGAGGGTAACAGTTGAAATTGACACCCCAAGGAAAACCATTGTCAACCGACGCGTCAGCGGAGGTTGACAATGGTTTTCCGAGGGGTGTCAATTTCAACTGTTACCCTCAAAAACGTGCACTATTTATTTTATTATACTGAATGTCTTATTGATTTCGGGTGTCATAAAAAAATTCGGAGATCGTCGTTAAGTTCACGCTTAGAAAGCTTTCAAACTCCCCGCTTCTATTTTTCTCAATAAGAAAGCTTCGGAAAAGATTAACCAACCTCTTTATTGTTTGTTTGCTATCAAAAAGTCCTTTGTCATCTAAAGTTTGCACTCGCAGGGATGTTTCGTCTGTCGTTTGTTGTTTTCAAGTAAGCTACATCGGACGCAAGCTTTTATTGACGTCGTTTATTCGGCTTCTTTCAAACGCACAACCGACGCTTTGAGAATTCTACGGTGAACCGTATGCGCATGATTTGAACGCATGTGATATTTTCGTAATGTTACCCGTTGTCAAGTGTGTTGCTAACGCTGAGGGTAACATTACGGATTGTTAAATGCGTCTAAACCAATCAGATTTTAGTATTTAACATGAAAGTATAATAAACAGTAATAGTGACCAACCGCATTGGATGATTGTTTACGAACTTGGTCAGTCAAAGTCCATTTTACTTCCTATAATCATGTGATATTTACAAAAATATGGTTCATTGAAAAATTCATTAAAACTTTGATAATATCCTTATGGAATAGTTTGCATGATTATGATGAGAACTCAACCTTTTACCAAAATTGTTAAATTCATATGCCCTGCGTCGATCTTCAGACCCTAGACAGGCCAGTAGCAACCGTTTTAAAAGTTATGGGGGGGGGGGGGGACCCGCAAAAATCCGTAAACTGCCTAAACTCGAAAATACTATTAAAATTTCGGGAGTTGGGAAGATGGTTGGACATTTCTCTAACTTTTTTGATACATTTTTCCCCCAAATGGTGGAAAAACTGGGGGTGGAGTGGGGACAGCATCTTTATAAAAAATTACACATTAAAACTACAGCAAAAGACGATACACAGAAAAAAGGGGTGCACCCCTTGCGTTTTACGGGTCTGCTAGGGAGGAGGTTAGTTTGTCATATTTTGAAAATACATTACATCTTTGAAAATGTTTTTCTCAACTCTTGAACATTTAGCAGACAAACTGTTTATAGAAATATGATTACAATGAACACAACTATAAAATTCATGTCCCACCATCCATTTTTCAGATCCCAAAGTGAGGCTACGTTGTTCATATATAGAACATATACATTACAACTTTGAAAATCCTCCTTATACTCACTGACATACAGCATATAAATAAAACTGTATGCAAGTATAACAAGGGGTATATACTGAACTCCATCAATGAATTACTCATGTATACAATTAATGCCCAAGGATCCAGCTTTTAGACTCCAGAGTGGAGCTATAATATGCAACTCGGTCACCTTTGAAGTTCTTCTTATCTACGCATGGGCATATAACAGATAAAATGTTTGCGTTATTATTATGAACTGCTTTCCCTCTATATAAAATTGTAAAATCCATGGCCCATAGTTCAGGTCCAAGGGTGGGGCTTAGAAAATAATTAACGTCTTTGAAAATCTTCTTCATCAATTATGGACATTTAGCAGGCAAACTGCAAGATTATAATGAACAACTAGTCCTCTAAATTTTACTTCTGAACTTCATGATGACAAGCTGATGAATGTGAATTATGATAATAGAGTCCCCACGAAACTTTCAATTTATGTCACATATACGAGTCTAGATTAGTTCCCTTTTGGCCTAAAGTGGGCATAACCTAATGACTGATGATACCGAGGTGACCGTTAAGGCCCACGAACGTCTTGTAGCATATACAGTAGTAATTATCATCTCTCTTAAGAAGTCATGGGCCTTCTTTAAGAGATATTTGAACCTTAACCCATATAGGTTTTGTGCCAAGTTTGGTTAAGAAATGTATAGATTCTGTAATTTGTTTTGTTCCTTTTTGGTGCCATGGAAGCATCAGTCCATTAATTTCTCTATCCATCACTTTCAATTTATTCGATGAAATCTCTCTTGTAGAGTGTTGTTAGATAATATATCAAGTAAATAAAACACATACACACACACACAAATTAATTCAATATTTTATATTTAAAAAATAGCTAAAAATAATTGCATATAAAAATTTCAGAGTCAAATATCAATATTTACATTCAATGTATTTTTCTTTATGAAATCCATTGGAAATCTACAACATTCATATCCCATTAACATACACGAAACCTTATCACTGCGCGTTAGAATACACAATAGAAACTACATGTACATACATTTGCAATACACCAGGAACACCAAAATGTAAATTGTTTTGGCCCAATTTCACTAAAAACAATTACCCTTTATAATTTTGTAAAAATATATATATAGCAATTGTACAGTTAAAATTGATTTCTTCCCCTCACAATATTCATTTCCTCTATCTGATTTTCCACGTCAAAAAAAGCTCATGATTACGTCTATTAACCACATACAGGGCTGATTTGAACATGTTAAAAATCTTAATTTATTTGTCTTGACTTTGAAAAAAGGAAAACTTAACGTTAAAACATAAAAAAGATCATATAAATTAAAAACAATACAAACACATTTAATTATGAATACCTCAAAACTACTCTGTAAATTTCAAAAATCAAACAAAAATAAAGTTCATGACAGAGGTCATGAAGTTCATGAAAGCGAAGAAAACACGATGTTTATTATCGCAAAATTTAACAGCAAAACTGAAAGTTTTACAAATCATTTTGCCATTATATTTCTTACGAGACTAGATATTATTTGTATCAACTTGTCCACTGCTCCTCCCAATGTAAAGTACATCACAGTACACGATTCTTGGAAGGTTTCTTTTCTTGCTCTATTGTACAACATAACCCATGATTTATTTTTTCTGTGACAGAAAAGGTTGCAAAATCTGAATCACCTGAGCTTCAAACAAGACAGTTTGCCTTATTCGTCGTGGAGTAGGTTCCATAGCTATAATTGTTGAATCTCGTTCTGGGAAGTTTCGATGACGGATTTCTCCAGTTGAAATAAAAATTCCTGTGGCTGAGTCAGTGCACGAATACCTTTTTGTGAACCATTTTATCCAACTAAATCAACTGAATTTTTACAGGAGACGTAAGTTTGAGTCGTGTGCTTTTAATAAAAGCTTCTAACAATTGAACTCAATAATACGACTGGTGAGTATATTTACATGTACATGTCAACAAGGGTGATGTCACCCTGAATAATCGTCATTTAGCACGTGACTACGATGTCTTACACGTTAACGAAACACTGGTTTTTCTCTATATTAGAGAGAGAGAGAGTATGTTGGCACGTTCAATGAAATATCTCGACTAGATATTTGTTGTTTAATTAGCATCAGAAACAAAAGAATCACAAGTTAATTTCTGTCCACTATCTACCATTGCCATCAGCAATTTTCTGAAGGTACAAAGCGATCTGGTGTCTTTTTTTTCACCATTTCACCATTGTGTCTGTAGTAATTATCAGAAGTCCCTTTAAAAAAAATTAATTCCTACCATAAATCTAGTCTTAGTGGGTGAAATTGATCGAAACGATATAAATGAAATGTGATTAAAGAATATGTACATGATAGTGTTGGAAATAAAGATATTTTCAGGTCGGTTAGATGGATAGCCTAGTCTTTATATTTTACAAAACGAGAGAGAGAGTTAAGTTTTAATTCAATTGCTGTAGTTAGATAATGTTTTATTGCTTTGCTCTCATTATGATAATCACTCCATTTTATTTTAGAGTATTTTAGTTTGGGTGTTTGAAAGAAAAAATAGATTATTTTGCCTGGTAATAGCTTCCGAGCATTTTTTTGTCCTTAAAAATATATACTAATTTGGTTTATTAGCAAAATTGCGCTAAAAAAATACAAATGATTTCCTAAGGTTATATTTCAACGAAAAATAACAGGCCCAAGGGCCTTAACAGTCACCTGAGTATAATACAACATTGTTAAGGATCTACAGAAGTATAAAATAAAACAAAAATAAACTGATAGATGATCGAAGCTATATTACCAAAAAGGAAGAGAAATCAGATGATCAGGTATCAACAAAATAATTCGTCTATTACTCAGTAGCACATGTTAAAACGGATCTATTTTACTTTATTTACCCCCCCCCCCCATTTATCACTCTCACCATCCTGACTTAAATTAACAAAAATGCTTCAACACTGTTAGAATACCAATTGCATTCCCTCTCACATTGATCTCTCAATTTTTGAAGAGGCACATTTAGTTTGATTGTTTGCCTAATACCCAGGAACAGAAGATTTTCAAAGAATTTATACAGTTTCACTATATGATCATTACGCCAGAGCCTGGGGCCACAGATTTCACAATTTTGGAAGAGGCATTCTTGCTCATCATAACAAGGCACCTAGTTTATCTTCTAAATAAGAATATTGCTAAAGAATTTATGCATTTTCACTATATAATCATTAGAGCCCGCCCTAACGACCCTGTGGTCACAGATTTCACAATTTTGGAAGAGGCATCCTTGCTCATCATAACAAGGCACCTAGTTTATCTTCTAAATATACAGGGGGAGAGAAGAAGATCTTTTTAAAAAAATTTGAATTTTCACAATATGATCATAAGAACCTCACCCTAACTCCAGAACTCCTGACTCTGGGGCCACAAATTTCACAAGTTTGGAAGAGGTACCCTTGCTCATCATAACCATGCACACACATGTAATTTATCTGCCAAATATTCAGAGGGAGAGGAGATTTTTAAAGAATTTATGCACTTTCGCTATACGATCAATAGAGCCCCGCTCTAATTTCAGAACCCCTGACCCTGGGGCCATGAATTCAACATTTTGGTAAAGGCTTATTGCTAATTACATCATACTAACATTCTTATTTCTTGATGTCCGGGACTAAACAAGAAGATTTTTAAAGATGACACTAATTTTGATGGTTTTATCCACCCTCCCGTCAGGTCCTAGGGGGCAGTGACCATGAAACTCACAATTTCTGTACCCCTTCACCAACTGATGCTATATGCCAAAATTGGCTGAAATTGGTTCAGCAGTTCAAGAGAAGAAGCTGAAAATGTTCAAAAGTTTACGACGGATGACGACGGAGAAAATCAGATAGCAATATAGGTCACCTGAGTGACTCAGGTGACGTAAAAACTAGTTCTACATTGACAACACCATTACTCTGAATGGGAAGTCTGTAGAAAAATTGTAGCCTAAAGCAACCCAATAAGTCTACAAGTTATTAAAACGACTACGACTAATATAATTTAATAATTTAAATCGTCTCTAGTTACATTGATTTTGCAGGTTTTGATGTATTTGGTTCAGTTTTTTTTAAACAAAATATTTTTTTTAACTGATCAACTGCTAATAATTACTTTATATTCTGTTTTATGCAATTATTCCTCGAATTTTTGAGTTGACCAAATTAGAGCATTTATACAGATTTGCCATAAATAATAGGAAATTTTCAATTTGAGTCACTTGCGTTGTTTAAATTTTTTAAATATTTCTAACTATTATTCTTTTTTTCTATCAACTGATGAAGAATGGCAAAATAAGGTAATTTTATATTTTGTGACATCAACGTTACAATATAGATAGCATATTTTTATTTTTCTTGAAAACTATCATGCAATCTTGCTTCCATACCTTAATAATCTGGATCTGGCTCCGGCGATTCAGAGGAAGGAATTCTGGTCTAATGTGAAAAAAACAAAATGCATATAAAGGATGAAATCACATTATTTTTCATAATGTCAATATTGATTATGGGAAAAGTTTGTCATGCTCTGTTTGCAAATGTTTATCTGCAAACTCCATTTAAAGAATATAAATACCAAAAAGTCAAATCGATATAAACTTACAAAGTTTTTATTTCTTCCGATGGCCCTTGATTTTTCACGTAATTGATCTTTTTTATAAAATTCCTACAACGAATTTTAAAAGTTGAATGAAATATTTTTATAGTCAAGAATGTTAATAAATACAATAAATGTATTAGCTGAGAAATTTGAATTCTGATTTTTCTTTTTGCAGAATACAGTAATCTGCGCATGTCAGCATACCAATTATAAGACGTTTGTTATATGAATTCCAATCTTTAATTTTATGTTAAATAAGAAGAATGATTAATTTTACTCACTCTAGCTCCAGGATAATCCGGATCTGGAACGTAAGGCTCGTAACTGATCTAAAATAATAAAAATACTCTTTTTTAGATACACTTGTATATCTTTAATACTTTGATTTATCTTTGTAATTCATTATACAACTTGCTTTAAAAAATCTGTGAATAGTCAGGAAAGTTTGCGATGCATACGAAGAGCTCTAAGGACTAATCTATCAAACTACTCTTTTTGACATCTAATCCTAAGGCATTCAATTTAATTAACTGATCGAACATTAGGACATATTTTAAGTATTATATGAAATTAAGGTCAAATCACATGGTATTTTAGGACTATCTTATAATAAATTTTGGGTGTTAGTTGCCTTCGCCTACTAAAAGGACCAATGGAATGCCAAATGAGAGTGTACCTGCACATCCAGAATCCTCTAGATAATCTAAACAAATTCCATTTAAATATCCAAGCAAGTAGCGACTTCCAAGAAATTTTATGGTTTTGACAGACCTGTACGTATAGATTCAATGGAGGAGATTTAGCCTAAAGTTAGGACGGGCAGTAGACTTAGAGATAAGTCCTTGACGCCATTTTTATTTGCCCAAATAAATACATCACATTAGATTTACATGCCTTGAATCTTTTGGATGAGAATCTACGATAAGTGCAAGGAGTCTGCACCAAAGTAGGTGCTGGCACAATAAACAACACTCCTTCCAAGAATGTTCAAAAAATAATTCACTGATAGTGTCATGATTTGTATGAACACATTTTGCTGGAATGTATTTAATTTCGAACACTGAGTATCGATGTATAATATATCACTACTTACATTAGTTGCTTTAAAATTTGGATTTGCTGACACTGTTGGCTAAAAATAAAATTCCAGTTCCATATTAGAAATTTCTTACCAAAGATACATGTAGCTCACGAGATCTTATGCCTGATGTCTAAATTCTTTTAATGCTCCAAAAAGTATATATATATATATATATATATATATATATATATATATATATATATATATATATATATATATATATATATATATATATATATATATATATATATACTAACTTTTTGACCGTCCGTTTTATGTGTTGATTCATGAGAGGCATCAGAGGCACTGATGGCATCTTTTTTCTGTAAAGACTATTTGGATAATAGAATCACTTTCTCAATTTCTTGAAATAACCGAGAAATGTATTATTCAAGGTGTGTTGAAACGAACTCAGAATGTCAAAGAAAGAAAGAAAAACAGCAAATTTCTTTGAGTTTTTAAAGGCACCAAAGGATCAACACTGTATAATATTAGATGTATTTTTTTTATTAAAATAAAAAAAAAAAACTCATTTAATAGCAACAACACGCATATCTGATATGAAAAAAATCTTTCTACTTTGTAAGAAATGTATTTTAATCAATGGTTATTGACTGAATACATAAGTAAATACAATTATAAAATATAACCTTATTAAACATAAAATTATATACATACGCCTTCGTCCAGGTTGATTCTACCTTTCACAACTTTTTTCAGTTCAGGCAAAAAAGCATAGGTCTTCTAGAATGAATATAATTTCGTAGATATCTACGAATCAAAAGTTCATATCATTTCGTTAAAAATCAATCTGCTTCATGTCTAGCATTTTGTTGAGGTAAAATACTTATTGTAAATATAAGTAAAAAAATATTTAAGTAAAAAATTAAATTTTTGATATTTTGTCGTGCAAATTATTGACTGAATAAATTGAGAATTTAAAAATTCCATACATGTAGAAACAGTATCTTTGAAATTTTTATCTTAGACCACGACAAAATGGTTCCAATAACGACACATGTTTTCAATCATTTTACCAAAATAAAATAAAAATTATCATTTAACTTTGTTTCTTTTTACAGCTATTTATATACAGAAGATTTGTCTTTTTTTTCAAATGCCCAAAAGCATAAGGAACAATTAAATAAATAATGTTTATTTGAAGGCAAATTTCAATTTTATATTCTAAAGATGTTAGAGTCATTGAAAAAATGCCTCGATGACAAGGTATGAGAGTACTTTTTTTGGTTGCTAGGTTTTATTGTCAAAAAAGCTTTTGATGGTCAAAGTATTCTTACGCTCATAGTTGAAGAAACATTGACTGAATTACTCAGCCTTGAAGACAACCTGTAAAATAGAGTTTTTAAATCATTAGGGAAAAGGTACACATATCAATGGGTAGGAAATTCTTGAATGTTATTTTTCAAAATTAAAAAATAAAAAAAAATGAAAATTATATGAATTGTACTTCTTTCTATAGATCAAGGAGTTTTTAAGGTGCGTCTTCTAACAAGGTTCCGATTCTGGCGTCTTTCTCCAAGAAGGATCTTTTGCTGAATTCGGTTTCCTCCTATTTGTTATAATACATCATTCATTAATTGGAAGCTTGAAACACCAGACAGACAATGAAAATTCTACCAAATACCAGTATTCGATCAGGGTTAGACTGTGAGACAAGGCGGAATAAAACAAAACAGTCTGGAACTGCTTGTTTCATAACCATATCATAAATACAAGGAATTTAAGTATTTTAATTAAGAAGGGATCTATAAGCTTTTAAGGCTATATTAAATATATCATCCATGTTTTTCTTACATTGTATTCTGATTTGCATTGTGTTTGAAGCACAATATCAGAAGAACTATTATATTTTATCGGACTACCATGGTTTCAAAATCGACAAAATAAAAAATTCAGTTGAATTCTGGAGGAACCCAGATTTATTTTTTTAAACATTTAACAAAATATAAACATAAAAATTCTTTGAAAATGTTAATGAAAAGGAAACAGTGTGTATACAGCATTTTTCTACAAATGTAACGCCTTTGAATTAATTTTAATACAAAAGCAAAATTCTAGTTAAGTCCATCAACATTTAAATCTTTCACAGCTTCCTTCGTGAAAAAAAACTGCAAATAGGGATTTTTTCGCCCCTGTCTAATTTTCGTCTCTTTTGCTCTATTTGTCTCGAAATGTCGACTGATATTTTTCATATACATGTCAATTGCTTGGTGATGATGTTCAAACTAAATTGCCTACAGCTTTTTCCGATTGCCCGATCATGCTAAGGGGCCACACGGCGGGTGTAACCGGACGACAAGGGAAGCTCACTCCTCTATGACACCTGACCCAACCTCTTGTGCCAGTTGTTGGCTCTGCTAAAAACTTGTATTGTTTAAAGGACTCTTGAGACTCTTCCATGGCACCTGGCCGCACCTCTGTTTTCAGAGACCCGTGTTGGTTCTACTCACAATTTGTATTGTTTAAATGGACTTTTAAGCTTGATCACTGTTCGTTACCTTAACATTTCGTTCCGTTGCCGTGTACATACTTGTGAAAGACAACATGGTGTATTGATGCATCTTAAATCGGGGGTTGCTGTGGAAAATTGCAACGTCCGATAAAAATCATACTAGTATGTTCTTATTAATACTACATACATTTCTTACACCGTATGACTACAAAGATTTGCACATTTTTTTTTTTTAAATATCCTTACATGTAGCTGGTGGTTTGGACTTGCAAGCAAACAAAGGTGTCCTTGTGTGGAAACATAGCTTAAACATCTATTATAGTGAAACCCCTTCGGGTGGAATAAAATGACACCTAAATCATATTCTCTATATATCTCTATTACCTACTTTTTGACTCTTCCTCTTCCTCGTTGACAACATTTTAAATGAAATTTGAGATATTTTACCTGTATAACAGGCAAGTACGTATTTGATATTAAATGGAGTGGTGTTTTTTATATGTCAGGTATTCAATTGTTGTTGATATAATCAAGGTCTATATTTTGGTTCTTTGAGTTGAGACTACGCCTCGCTGCACTTGAAGAAAATTCCGATTACGTAATGGGATTTTTAAAGTGCTACGGAAGATATTCATTGACTTTAAACTTTACTTTGGTCGATTGATTCGCAATACAAAAGCCGTCAAAATTTGAAAACACATTACAGGAGTATCTGAAAAAAAAAATAGTGCAATAGATCCAGAGTATATTTGTTTTTTAACATCGAGATTATTTGTACATAGCTGTATGTTTGCATTCCTTATTTAAAAAATGCACGCAAAAAGAAAACGGAGGAGAAAAATTTTACAGACATCTGACCGACTTTCTCTCTCTGATTGATTTTATTTATAATTAGACTCTATCGATCCAAACAGCAATTGCTATTATGATCTGTTGAATAACACATTGTAATACTTTTACTGCTAATGGTAGAAAAAAATATAGGGAGAGAGGAATACCTGAATACATGTCCTTCGTATGAACATGTATAAACACGTAAGTTGCAATTTTGTAATTTGTTTCTTGCTCTATGCTGTTAAACAATTTTGCAGAATAAGTTCATTTTATGCTCAAACTATCCAAATAGGTCCCAGAAGATTTTTTTTTCATTTTCTTCGAATTTCTTGCAAAACGAAAATATCAAAAGAATATTTCCCTCTTAAGTTCTCTATGTACATCTAATTATATGATGAAGAAAGAAATATTAAATTAATAAGTCTCGATCGTAATTTTTTCTCTTTTTGATTACTTCATACGATATTAAATATAAAGAAATTTTCACTTACTTCCTTTATAAGAACATACTCCAATAAGCACACTGTGTCTCTTAGGGAAAGAGGAATACCTGAATGCATGTCATTCTTAATGTTTAAATAGACCTGCACTTGTGCATGTCTTTGAATGGAATGCGAAAGTGTAGGGTTACCCGTGTATCGTTATTATCCCTCATTTTCATACCAAACATAATGAATAATTGCATATTATAGCCTGCTTGATATGTATCAAGACTGTTATATTTCAGTTGAATTAATAACGCTGAAATCAATAAATGCCTTCTACCATGTAGTATTCATACAAATCATGATACAATGAAAAAATTTAAATAATGTCATTGTGAGACGAAATATCAAAGTAAATAATCAAGCAATTTTCTTAATGAATGTGATATATTCATCATTTTTATTTCAACCTATCTAATAATTAACTAGTATTTTGGTAACCCTTGTAATTTAAAATTATGTCAGTATGCTCAGTATTTGGATGAATGGACACAGTAATTTTCTCAAACACTTGGGTATATTTCGCTATGAAAAGGTTATATTTTTTATGATATCAGTTATTGCGGCCACTGGTATACATTAAGTTATGAATCTTTCATCTTACATTCATGTACGATGTGTGATCAAAAAGTTCGCGAACTAATTGAATTATTTCCATAAAAGAAATAAAATTAGGTTTAAGTGTTCATTATTTTTTAAAATAGTCCTCTCCGATTTTAATGCACTTCTGCCACCGTTCTGCCCATGCGCGAATCACGTGATCCAGACAGTTACGTGACATGCTCCGTAGCGTTTTTTAAATGTGGATAAAATATGGGCCCCTTCTTTTTATCATATTTGATATGTTTAAACTCTAAAGTAAACGATATTTTAGGGATTTGATAATTATATTATTGTTAAAATATTCAACTATTTTTCTAACTGTAACTTGGAAGATCTTTTGTAAAAAATTGCTCAACTAAGGACACATCTCTTTCCAAGCTTGCTTTCACTGGCCAACAGAACAAACATTATTTTTAACCATCTCCCTTCCTTCACTAAAACAATCAATCCAAATAATGATTGAACTTCTGGCAAGTCTTTTGACTTCATAAACCTTGTACAGATTATTATACGCTACTGCAAAGGGATTTCCAAGATATACGTTAAACTTTACAGACCTTCGTTGCTTGAGTACGACTGAGTCAACCATTTTTTTCGTGAACAGGTCACCTACATATTGACGTCATTTTCACATTTTGACGTCACAAACATGGAACAAAACATTACATATCACGTGCTATTTATAGAACGTTTGTATGACTATATGTGTGCCAAATTTCATTTTGATCTGAATTGTGGTTTTGTAAATATAGAGATAGTTCGCGAACTTTTTGATCACCCCTCGTAACTGATAAAGGGCTAATCAATTTAATAACGACAATAACTGTCTCTCTTTCTTCTACTCATGCAGCTTCTAATCATTGATTCTCCGAAGCAGAGTAAAAGTCAAATTTTACCTCTTCCTCTTTCATAGTTGAGAAAAGTTGTGCCAACCCCCCCCCCCCTAAAAAAAAAAAAACAATTGCATACAAATATTAACGAACCTGACGTCTGTTAGTCCAAGAAAGCCTTGTGTAATCTTTTCTTACCATTGCCTAACTGTTCCAGAAAAGTCGAAAAAAAAATAGATAAAAGTAAACTAGATGCTGTCATAAGACAGTAATACCAGCACTAAAGTATGATTTATTTAGGGGCAGGTCTGCCCTAAAGGACTTCTAGACCAAAATTCATGCAAAAATCGGTGCTTTAATGGAACAAATGCTATTTTAGCCAAGGTTTATTTTAAAGTTGCAAATAATGAATTTTAAATTTACTTTATAAATTTTAGGTTCAAAATGCAATCTGATTTAATCAGATCTTTGTTACGCTCCGAAATTCTGATAGTTGCTGTACAAAGACTATCAGAATTTCGGAGCGTAACAAAGATCTGATTTTAATCAGATTGGTTCGAAATGCAAATTTGGAAAGTGTTGATATATATACGGTTCAAAATGCAATCTGATTTAATCAGATCTTTGTTACGCTCCGAAATTCTGATAGTCGCTGTACAAAGACTATCAGAATTTCGGAGCGTAACAAAGATCTGATTTTAATCAGAATTGTTCGAAATGCAAATTTGGAAAGTGATGATACATATTACGGTAGAAAATAACTAATGAATATTGATTTTTACATGTGACCTTTTCCGGAAAATTGTTCTCCCCCAAAGGTCATTTTTTTTTAAATTTCTCAATACATCATTTAACAGGAGAAATTTTCGATGGCATATTTTCAGTCTCAGGAAAACGTTTAAAACCGGTTGTTGAAAATAACATGTGGTCGAAGTATACAAGTATACATTAGAAACATACGGTAAATAAAATTTGAAAACGGCAACTTAAAAATAACAGGTCAGTGGGTCTACTAAAGTACATGTGACTGCCAGATAGAGGGGCTGTATTCATGCAGTACATATCTGGCTCCCTGAAACACTTCAATGCTTTCTAGGCTCAGCACCTACCGTTGGAACGCCTCGTAAAACAAGAAGATTTCCTCGATAGCTTTGGCGATTTCAACATTCGTTCGGGTAGCAATGACGTAATTTATCCGGGTCTCAATTTTGTAGACTGTGGAATTCTTTCACTTGTTTTCTGGTAGATATATCTCATAAAAAGTTAAATCTGTGTACGAGGTAACCCGATCATCCTCCACTCCTCTAGTGTTATTGAGAATGATAGAGTATAGGTCTGTAGAATAGCTCTGTTACCTATGTAAATAGTGTTAAAGCATTATTTATTATTATATATTAAAACAGTATTTCAATTCACAGAGACGTAAGCATACTTGTAGTCATGGACATCGGTCTTACAATAAATCTATTATAGTCGATGTCTCATTTGATTCACTACTACTTTATGTAAATAAACAGTTAGATCTTCATCACATTCGCACCAAACTTTACTCTATCCCTTTGAAACTTTTAAATAGTGTATTTGAAAAAGTCAAGGAAAGTCCATATTTGTATTCTTCGACACCAGAATACAGGCTCGGATCTGTGATTATGGATTTTGCAAATCATAGGCTATTTAAACTGCCATGTTTTGCGAAAGAAAATACTGCTAAAACAACCCTTTTTTTCCTTAAACTTCAATATGCCAACAATGGAAGTGACGCGGTAAATAAAAGTAATGTTCTTAATCACAAAAGGGTCCAGTCTAAATCACAAAAAGGCCCAGTCTTGTATTCCACCATATTTCAAGTTGGAATCAACACCTTGTATTTCTTACAAATATACATCGACTATTGAAAACTCTACTAAGAAAACTCTATAAGGCCTAGATATCGAACATCTTAATCATAATCCTCCAACGTGTTCATGCTCTTCTTCACCCTACAACTATAGTCCTGCTGGACACATCATTACTGGTGACGTACATATAGTAAAAATGAGGAACTTAAATCACTTATTTTAAAAGGGCCAAAATTTAGGGAACCCCGATTTTTCAACTGGTGTCATAATTTCGTAAATGTTATAAATCATGTGGAGGATTACACCAGGCCATGGGCCAAACATGAAAAAGAAGACATTGGCACTTTGTCAGAATGGATTTAATGTATCAGACGGATGTTAAAATCTCGCACTAAGCGATTGAATGGAAATATGAGAACCATCTATCCTTCTGTTAAGTGAAAAAAGAATTACATAGATAACACGATCAGTTTGTACGTGTCCCAGTTGACAAAGCAGGTAACAACATTGTCTTTGTTTGTAACTGCTTTGTAACTGTTTATAATGAAATATGAAGATAACGAACAGTATTCAATCTCAAAAGTCCAAAACGATACAAATTTGGAGCAGAGCAAACACGAACCTCAAAATTTAGAGGTGGGATCAGGTGCCATGGAGGAGTGAGCATCTCCTGCCGACCGTGTGCTCCTTGTCATGATCTGGAAACAAAAAGCGGAAAAAACCGTAGACAGTTCAGTGTATAAATAATGGCCTAAAAGTCAGTATGAAAAACGTCAGTCAGCATTTGACTCAATGACAGGTTGTACTGTATTTGCTTACAAGGTCATTGTATCGGCAGAAAAACTTGCTAAAAGATGATTTCAGACGAGTCTGTTGAAATTCTTATTTCGTCAACTTGTTTGCCAATAGCTTGCCTCGTTTTAAAAATTGTTCATACGTAGAGCATGCTCTTGCGTATCGAGTCAACTGAGAGATATAAACCCCATATGCAGGTGAAATGGGTATATTGCTACATAAGTAAGGGAAGTTGACGATTGAAAAGTTGAAGTCATCACGTTTATCATAAAGCTTAGTTGTTAGGTTACCATTAACGTCCTTTTCTAGTAAAATTTCTAAATATGAAACAAATGTGTCGGAATCTGTAGTATCTTTTATTTCAAGCTCACTGGGATATATCGAGTCGACATATGAATGAAAGTAACTATTGTTAATTGATAATACGTCGTCGATATATCGAAATGTCGAGTTGAAGGCCACAGCAAGTGTTTTCTTCTTCTGATGTAGAAGTTTTTGAATAAATTCTGCTTCATATGAATGCAAAAATAGGTCTGCTAATAAGGGGGCGCAATTGGTACCCATGGAAATTCCAACAGATTGTTGGAAGACCTGATCTCCAAAAACTACATAGATATTGTCAATCAGAAACTCAAGCATCTGTTTAATATCAACTTCAGAATACCTGTGTGTACAATCAGAGTGCTTTTTAACAAAGTAATTTTGTAAATGACCAATGATAAGGTAAGTATATTTACGAGTTCCATTTTTATTGAAAAAGCAGCTGTCTATGATGTCAAAAAGCCTTGACTTCAAATTATCGTGAGGAATGGTTGTATAAAGCGTTGAAAAGTCGTACGTTTTGATGCTATTGATTTTAGTAAAAATTTTTGATTTCAAATTTTCCAAAAGTTCTTTGGAGTTTTTAAGTATCCACATCTGATTTACACCACTTCTCGAATATACTGTTGAACAGTACTCTTGAAGTTTATCCTTCATTACAGTAAATATTTTAGTGAG